GCTATTGTATTATACTCCTTTGTTCCTATCTACAACACTAATCTGAATCATCAATAAAACACATTACCTACTTTTGTTAAAATTTTTATTTACAAAATACAAAATCTTATTACTTATTATCTATAAAATAGGAGCGAAACATCTCATCCACTAACATATCGTTGTACAATGTGTTCTCTGTAAATATACTCGTAAAACTATGCATTGAACATCCCTGAAACTTATATAGCAAATACATTAAGCAATATTCGCCACAAACTGAAGTCCTATCAACATTCCAGTTCCATCTTTTACAATTGCGTACAGGTGCCCGTCCATATGAATCAAAATATTCACCGACGTCATTCGTATCGATATATAAAGCTACCCAATGTGACCCTGGTTTATCATCTGTACCCAAATTGCATATTACCTAGTCAGGTCATAAATTCTATCACATGTTTAATGTAAAATAATTGAAACAAGTTTATTCATTATGTAACCATTTATATACCAAAATGAACTTAACAAAACATAGATTCTTATGACACTATAGTTTATTCAAAATGACCTCCGTAATTTTGAATACAGGCCTTCAATCTGCGCGGCCAGTCGTCTATCTCACCACGAACGAGGTCCATGTCATATCGGCGGCTGTCTTAATTAAAGATGTCTTGAGTGACTCGAAATTGGGATGAGGCTTTGAGCACGCCTTTTCCTCCAAGTGTTACCATATCTTGTAATCTAACGGATTCAAATCTGGACTGGTCTTTGTGTCGGATGAAGTTGATTTCACGCGCCGCCAGCCAGTCTTTTTTTTTTGTTTTTAAAGAACGTTACCTCCACACTAGGTTTTTCTCCTGTATCGTGGGGGCAGTTTACAAACACAAATTTCACAAGGACAAACATCCAAACTCGGAACAATTACTTGTAGGTCGTACAAATACTTGTTCCGTGCGGGAATCGAACCCGCGACCCCCAAGCGCAGCCACTCATTGCTAAGCCACTACGCCACGGAGCTGTCAAAAGTCTTGTGTGCTCTTCGCTCTATGAGCTGACGCCGAATCTTGTTGGAATACCCAGTGCCTGTTATTGAACATGGTATGAGAAACAGGTTACACAAGGTTCGTCAGGACTGTATTTTGATACACAACTGCATTCGTTTTTAACCTTTCTCACAAAAATGTACTGTAGCCCCAATAAGAAACTCCCAACCATACCATGAGCGAGGATGGAAAATGACCTCGTTGGACACGCGGAATACGGTTGCTCGCTTCTTCACTACTGTGTGCGTACACCTTATCATTTTGTTTGTTGTAGCTCTCTTCTACGGTAAAAATTTTTTTATCCGAAAAAAGAATTTCCCGATATTTTTTTCCCGCGTACCGCTTCACCAAAGCGCGGTAATTCTTCAGTCTCAGATCCATTAGACGAGCATTCAAACGATGTCCTGTTTTTCTTCGATATGCCCGAAGCCCTAAGTCTTCATTTAACGCCGTGGTTCTGCTTAACCCCATCTGAAGGGCCAACAGTTTCTGCTTACGTTTGGGATTTCTTTGAATTCGCACCTTTACAGCTTTTATCACTGCTGTAGTCCTAACAAATCGAGGGCGACCACTTCTTGACCTGTCATCTACACTAGAGTCTTCATTGTATCGTTTGATGGTACGATAAACGAATCTTTTGGTTATATTCAAATTTTTCAGTATATCAAAAAATTTAATTGGCGCGTAATCGCAACTGCAACACGGTCTTTTTTAAGCGTCCACTCCATATGTAAAAATGAGTAAAATTCTAAAAAGTATACAGTTTTATTTTCATGAACAATTCGAATTCAATAAACTTTTTTGTGGCCAGCATTCTAAAAGAAAAGTTTTTACTGTGTGACAATACTTATGACCTGACTAGGTATATACGTTGGTACGTGGGTGTACATGGACAGTCTGTTAGCAGCATAAACATTATTTTCTAGACTGGGGTGAATCTTTTTCAGATGTTGTTGTACATCTAGTGTATCCATGATATTACTGCTATTAGTAGATTACTACAGTACAATCTACTCAATGACTAACATAGGAATGATCAATTACGTGATTTCTAAATATTAAATTACATTTTTTCTGTTATACAAAACGTATTTGAGTCATCAATACACTGAATAAGACGCAACACGAAGAATGTGAGATAAGGTTGTTGACGCATAAAGTTATTATCAATTCTACCGTAGAAATTCTTTAGATTAGAATTATTACTTACTGGTACTATATAAGACCAAGCAACTGCAGTCATGGAGTTAGTGTATGGTCGTTTGACCGCAGTGTATCTATCAATAATACATTTGCGTAACTTCAACGCATCAAAGGCCATAGATGTAAGTGTTTAATCTATTGACAAACTTACTTTTCTTTCTGTTATTTTTTTACGTGTGTATGATTTTGAACGACAGGCCTGTTGGTCTAGTGGTTAGTGACCATGACTTTTATGCCGGAGGTCGTGGGTTCGATTCCCACCCAGGACAAATGTTTGTGTGATGAGCACGATCATTTGTTCTGTGTCTGGGTGTAATTTATCTATAATATTTATGTATTTAGAAATATATAAGTATGTTTATCAGTTGTCTAGTACCCATAACACAAGCTCTGCTTAGCTTGGGACTAGATGGCGTTGTGTGATAGTTGTGGAATATTATTATTATTATGTGGGGTATCTATATAGTTTTCTCATCTGGTTGGGTTCTATAAATATATAATTATAAATGAAAATGAAAAGATAAATATACATAAACATCAATAACACAAAACAAATATAAAAGTACACAAATAAGTAAAAGCCCAACCAGATGGAGGCCCTCGGCAGGGAAGACCAAACGGCCGAGGGTTAGGGGGAAAGGGAAAGAAACCGGCGGACGATGCGGGCGGTATCGAGGAGCACCGCCTTCTGCATTTGAACCTGGAGCGGCCCACCACGTAGTCCCAGCCGCCTCAGATGACCCGAGAGGCTGACTGGGATTAGCCCGTTTGCAGAGACGACTACAGGAATAATTTCGGTCGGCAGACCACCCCACATGTCGGTCACCTCGTGAGCCAGGTCCAGATATTTTGTTTGCTTGTCTGTTTCGGCTTTCACGAGGTTCTCGTCATACGGAATGGTAATGTCGACCAAAAATATCCTTGTCTGTGCCCGGTCCATCAGCACAATATCAGGCTTATTCGCAAGAATAGTCCTGTCTGTGATGATGGCCCGGTCCCAATAGAGCCTGGCGCGATCATTTTCGAGCACGGCTTCCGGCAAGTACTTGTAATACGGCAATTTCCGATCCACGAGACCGTATTTCAGAGCGAGCTCCTGGTGTAGAATTCTGGCTACTAGGTTGTGCCTGTGCAAGTACTCAGAGTTAGAAAGCGCCGAACAACCGGAGATAACATGCCTAAGTGACTCACCGGGATGGCGACAAGCTCGACAGATGTCGACGGTGCCATCCTTTAGGATGTATCTCCGATAGTTGTTGGTCTTAATAACCTGATCCTGTATTGCACAGACAAAACCCTCGGTTTCCCCGAAGAGATCACCAAAGCGTAGCCAGTGGAGGGAGGCTACTGTGTCTACGAAAGGCTCATGTAGAGCCTTGTAGAACCTCCCGTGGAGCTCCTTCTCCTTCCATACGGTCTCCCGGTCGGAAATGCTCTGCACTGCCGGGTCTTGCCATTGCTCGTTGGCCAAGGATAGAGGGGTAAGCCCTTTATCACTAGAAATGACGTCATTATAGAGTGGATCATCCGATCTCGCCAGGAAGTAATTACGGAGGCTGCACACTTCACGATTATGCATAGTGAGCGCGCTTAGAAAGCCACGCCCACCATGCTTCCGCGGCAAGTACAGCCTCATTACCGACGATCTCGGATGATGCATCCTATGGGACGTCATGGTAGTGCGGACTTTTCTATCCAGGGCGTTAAGTTCAGTCTGAGTCCACCTGAGTATGCCAAAGGTATACATGAGGACAGGCATGACCCAACAGTTATATTCTTGTGCCTTATTCACACCGGACAAAAGGCTGTTAAGCACTTTGGTCAAGCGTGCATAAAACACGTCGCAAACTGACTGTTTCATACCAGCCTCATCGATACCGATGTTCTGTGACATACCCAGGTATCGGTATGTTTCAGCCTCGGAAAGGGTTCTTAAGTTGACGGGCATAGATAAGTCTATGCCCTCAGAGTTAGCAACCCTTCCCCTTTCAACATGGAGGACCGCACACTTATCCGTCCCCAGCTCCATTCTAATAGAATTGCTAAATTCACACGTGATGTTTAGCAATTCCATAAGATGGGAGCGACTGGAGGCGAATAATTTGAGGTCATCCATATAGAAAAGGTGGGTCACTTTTGTACCTCCTTTCCGAAGCTGAAATCCCCTCCCGGAGCCCTCCAGTAAAGTACTGAGAGGGTTCAAAGAGAGGCAGAACCAGATTGGACTCAGACAGTCGCCCTGGAATATACCCCTTCTTATCCTTATGCGGCTTTCCGCAGCCGTCATCCGCTCGCCTAGATGACAGAGGATCGTACTCCACTGCCCATACACTGCTCGAGGAAGTCTCGAACTGTACAGTCAATCTTGTACAGCTCGAGGACCCTCTTTAGCCATGTATGGGGCACCGAGTCAAATGCCTTTCTGTAGTCTATCCAGGCGGCGGAGAAGTTCCGACGGTTGCGTTTCACCACTTTGCCAATGACCGCGTCAATGAGGAGTGGTTCCTTGGTTCCACGACCGCCGCCCCGACATCCATTTTGAGCGCGCGACATCACCTGATTTAAGTCCAGGTGACGAGCGATTCTTGCGCTCAAAATGGATGTTAGTGTCTTGTATATGGTCGGTAGACACGTGATGGGGCGGTATTTGCTCGGGTCTGTGGCACCCTGATCTTTAGGAACCAAATGAGTGATCCCAGTAGTGAAGAGGCTTGGGAGCGACTTCTGGTTGAGAGCCTCTTGAAACTGTCGGGCGAGCACAGAGTGACACACCATGAATCCCTTCAGCCAGTAGTGATGCAGCCCGTCAAGCCCCGGACTTTTCCAGTTCGGGGCCCTACGAACCGCCTCAGCTACGTCATCCGGCGTTATGATGACGGGGTCCATGGGCGTAATACTCGCACACTGACTCGCCACAACTTCTGTCCAAGGGCCCTCGTTGTGGTTTATGGGCTCTGACCACAGGCTGCGCCAGAATGCGACCGTGTCGGCCTGATTTGGTGCTGGGCCCGTTCCACTTACTATTGGTCGCTCCAATGATTTATAGAGCCTCTTCTGATCACTCTGGAAGAGACGATTCTGGTTGAACCGTGTCGACCTCTCGGTATATCGCCGAATCCGCTTTCCCCAAGCAGCTATTCTTTGCTTCAAGTCGTCTATGCGCTCCGTCAGTTTTTGCATTATATCCGGCTGGGACAAACTAACATTTGTCCCAGCAAACGCCATCCTGACGGTGCGCACAATCCTTGGCCTGTTATTGCCTGACCTGAAGCATATCAGTCTGCCGATGAGGGCTCTAGCCTTTGCGATACGTTCCTCAATTCTTATTCTCCAGGCTGGGATAGCGCTACTTTGTCCAGTAGCGCGTCCAGCCGTGGAAAGTTTGGCGCCTATAATACGGCAGACTGCCAGTGCGGCGCCAAAAAGAATTGAGTCCGTCTCGCAAAGGTTGGCTTCCAAATAGGTAACCAGCATTGGGTTCAAAGCCCTCACGACAGCCCGATTCCGCTTGCTTAGGGCTATGCGGGGGAAGTCGCGGTCGATTTTCGAGAGTGCGTACTGCGCGTTTCCACAATCGCCTCTTCCAATGTACTCCTCATGTGCTCTAGTTCCAGTTCCTGGACGACTGTTCCATCATCGTTTGAATCAACCACAACTGGCGTATTCACGGCGGCATCCACGTTTGCCGTTTGCTCAGCAAGTTGTGGCGCATCCTCAGCCGCAGCATTTTCACCCGATGAAGGAACAGCCTCACGTCGTAGCCGTTCAAGTTCGGTGACATCAAATGTATTTGAGCGCAAGATATACCGAACTCGGTCTGCCAGGTTTTGCTCGCTGACGGTTACAGATGGATTTGGGAGATTATTATTATTATTATTATTATTATTTAGTGTTAACAAATTATATTTAAATATTTTGTGTGTGTATATGATTAAGCCGTGGTAGCTCAGATGGTTAGCGCAAGCTGTAAATTTTACACTACGTAACGCGGGTTCGATCCCCGCCGACACCAATTAAATTGTTAATTGCAATTTTAAGTGTTTATTCTATTGACACACTTACTTTTCTTTCTGTTATTTTCTTACGTGTTATGATTTAGTGTTAAAAAAATATATTAAAATATTGTGTGTGTATATGATTAAGCCGTGGTAGCTCAGATGGTTAGCGCAAGCTGTAAATTTTACAGTACGTAACGCGGGTTCGATCCCCGCCGACACCACTTAAATTGTTAATTGCAATTTTAAGTGCTGATTTACCACGTGCTCGGCGGTGAAGGAAAACATCGTGAGGAAACCTGCATGTCTGAGAAAATTTCGAAGGCATGTGAAGTTCGCCAACACGCATTGAGACCGCGCCGCGGACATTTCCTAGCCATAAATACAAAGACAATAGCAGAAAGTAAAAAGTTAAAAAATACTTTTTTAACAATGACAGTCATTAGTTGATCATTAGTGAATGTGATTCTGTTTTCTTAAATTACAGGAAGAAAAGAGCAGAAGGAAGAAATGGGGTGATGGGAAGTAATGAAGAATGAATTGTTATGTGAAGTTTGTTGGAACAAACATATTTTAGTCACGTGTAAATACTTTTAACATTTTGGTTCAAAATGACACAAAATCTAAAAAATATTAGATACATCATCGACATGGACGGATTTTACATTACATATCCTCATAAACATTTTTAATGTAGAGAAATGGCTATTCTAGACGTAAAACTATCTAATAAAAATGATTCGTTTATCGATCATTATTTGTTTCAGCCAAGTTATCCTTTCAATTATTTGTCGATAAAAGACAAAAAAACTGTTCGTTATTGTGAAATACACGTGCACAGCATTCCATATTTTGATGTGACCGAAGAATTAAAATGTGCCTACAAACAAGAGAACATCATTCCCATATTAAATTGGTATATTAGAAATTTGTGCAAAGACGAAGTGATCGCATACAAAGGTGGTTCAACAGAAAAACAATTTTTAAAAATGTTGACGACGAATGATAGAATTTTTAATATTGAAGAATACAAATGTCCAAAATACAATGATTTGGTAAATGTCATAAATTTAAACAAACGTTATGTGTGTAATAATCATATATTTGCAAAAAATAATCACAAAATTTTACATTGTTCTTGTGACGAAGTGTTGGGTTTCTTACAAGTGGTTATTGCTTGAAAATAAAATTTTAAATTAATCATAAATTTTGTTTGATTTCCCAAAAACATTAGTTATAGTTATTTATACAAAATTGGTTCAACAGAAAAACAATTTTTAAAAATGTTGACGACGAATGATAGAATTTTTAATATTGAAGAATACAAATGTCCAAAATACAATGATTTGGTAAATGTCATAAATTTAAACAAACGTTATGTGTGTAATAATCATATATTTGCAAAAAAATAATCACAAAATTTTACATTGTTCTTGTGACGAAGTGTTGGGTTTTCTTACAAGTGGTTATTGCTTGAAAATAAAATTTTAAATTAATCATAAATTTTGTTTGATTTCCAAAAAACATTAGTTTATATATAAACAAAATTGGTTCAACAGAAAAACAATTTTTAAAAATGTTGACGACGAATGATAGAATTTTTAATATTGAAGAATACAAATGTCCAAAATACAATGATTTGGTAAATGTCATAAATTTAAACAAACGTTATGTGTGTAATAATCTTATATTTGCAAAAAATAATCACAAAATTTTACATTGTTCTTGTGATGAAGTGTTGGGTTTCTTACAAGTGGTTATTGCTTGAAAATAAAATTTTAAATTAATCATAAATTTTGTAACTAATGTTTTTGGGAAATCAATCTTTACCAAATCATTGTATTTTGGACATTTGTATTCTTCAATATTAAAAATTCTATCATTCGTCGTCAACATTTTTAAAAATTGTTTTTCTGTTGAACCAATTTTGTCTAATGTTTTTTGGAAATCAAACAAAATTTATGATTAATTTAAAATTTTATTTTCAAGTAATAACCACTTGTAAAAAACCCACACTTCGTCACAAGAACAATGTAAAATTTTGTGATTATTTTTTGCAAATATATGATTATTACACACATAACGTTTGTTTAAATTTATGACATTTACCAAATCATTGTATTTTGGACATTTCTATTCTTCAATATTAAAAATTCTATCATTCGTAGTCAACATTTTTAAAAAATTGTTTTTCTGTTGAACCAATTTTGTATTATATAGTATACTATAACTAATGTTTTTGGGAAATCAAACAAAATTTATGATTAATTTAAAATTTTATTTTCAAGCAATAACCACTTGTAAGAAAACCCAACACTTCATCACAAGAACAATGTAAAATTTTGTGATTATTTTTTGCAAATATATGATTATTACACACATAACGTTTGTTTAAATTTATGACATTTACCAAATCATTGTATTCTGGACATTTCTATTCTTCAATATTAAAAATTCTATCATTCGTCGTCAACATTTTTAAAAATTGTTTTTCTGTTGAACCAATTTTGTATTATATAGTATACTATAACTAATGTTTTTGGGAAATCAAACAAAATTTATGATTAATTTAAAATTTTATTTTCAAGCAATAACCACTTGTAAGAAACCCAACACTTCATCACAAGAACAATGTAAAATTTTGTGATTATTTTTTGCAAATATATGATTATTACACACATAACGTTTGTTTAAATTTATGACATTTACCAAATCATTGTATTCTGGACATTTCTATTCTTCAATATTAAAAATTCTATCATTCGTCGTCAACATTTTTAAAAATTGTTTTTCTGTTGAACCAATTTTGTATTATATAGTATACTATAACTAATGTTTTTGGGAAATCAAACAAAATTTATGATTAATTTAAAATTTTATTTTCAAGCAATAACCACTTGTAAGAAACCCAACACTTCATCACAAGAACAATGTAAAATTTTGTGATTATTTTTTGCAAATATATGATTATTACACACATAACGTTTGTTTAAATTTATGACATTTACCAAATCATTGTATTTTGGACATTTGTATTCTTCAATATTAAAAATTCTATCATTCGTCGTCAACATTTTTAAAAATTGTTTTTCTGTTGAACCAATTTTGTATTATATAGTATACTATAACTAATGTTTTTGGGAAATCAAACAAAATTTATGATTAATTTAAAATTTTATTTTCAAGCAATAACCACTTGTAAGAAACCCAACACTTCATCACAAGAACAATGTAAAATTTTGTGATTATTTTTTGCAAATATATGATTATTACACACATAACGTTTGTTTAAATTTATGACATTTACCAAATCATTGTATTTTGGACATTTGTATTCTTCAATATTAAAAATTCTATCATTCGTCGTCAACATTTTTAAAAATTGTTTTTCTGTTGAACCAATTTTGTGTTATATAGTATACTATAACTAATGTTTTTGGGAAATCAAACAAAATTTATGATTAATTTAAAATTTTATTTTCAAGCAATAACCACTTGTGAGAAACCCAACACTTCATCACTAGAACAATGTAAAATTTTGTGATTATTTTTTGCAAATATATGATTATTACACACATAACGTTTGTTTAAATTTATGACATTTACCAAATCATTGTATTCTGGACATTTCTATTCTTCAGTATTAAAAATTCTATCATTCGTTGTCAACATTTTTAAAAATTGTTTTTCTGTTGAACCAATTTTGTATTATATAGTATACTATAACTAATGTTTTTGGGAAATCAAACAAAATTTATGATTAATTTAAAATTTTATTTTCAAGCAATAACCACTTGTAAGAAACCCAACACTTCATCACAAGAACAATGTAAAATTTTGTGATTATTTTTTGCAAATATATGATTATTACACACATAACGTTTGTTTAAATTTATGACATTTACCAAATCATTGTATTCTGGACATTTCTATTCTTCAATATTAAAAATTCTATCATTCGTCGTCAACATTTTTAAAAATTGTTTTTCTGTTGAACCAATTTTGTCTAATGTTTTTTGGAAATCAAACAAAATTTATGATTAATTTAAAATTTTATTTTCAAGCAATAACCACTTGTAAGAAACCCAACACTTCATCACAAGAACAATGTAAAATTTTGTGATTATTTTTTGCAAATATATGATTATTACACACATAACGTTTGTTTAAATTTATGACATTTACCAAATCATTGTATTTTGGACATTTGTATTCTTCAATATTAAAAATTCTATCATTCGTCGTCAACATTTTTAAAAATTGTTTTTCTGTTGAACCACCTTTGTATGCGATCACTTCGTCTTTGCACAAATTTCTAATATACCAATTTAATATGGGAATGATGTTCTCTTGTTTGTAGGCACATATTAATTCTTCGGTCACATCAAAATATGGAATGCCCTGCACGTGTATTTCACAATAGCGAACAGTTTTTTTTGTCTTTTGGCGACAAATAATTGAAAGGATAACTTGGCTGAAACAAATAATGATCGATAAACGAATCATTTTTATTAGATAGTTTTACGTCTAGAATAGCCATTTCTCTACATTGAAAATGTTTATGAGGATATGTAATGTAAAATCCGTCCATGTCGATGATGTATCTAATATTTTTTTAGATTTTGTGTCATTTTGAACCAAAATGTTAAAAGTATTTACACGTGACTAAAATATGTTTGTTCCAACAAACTTCACATAACAATTCATTCTTCATTACTTCCCATCACCCCATTTCTTCCTTCTGCTCTTTTCTTCCTGTAATTTAAGAAAACAGAATCACATTCACTAATGGTCAACTAATGACTGTCATTGTTAAAAAAGTATTTTTTAACTTTTTACTTTCTGCTATTGTCTTTGTATTTATGGCTAGGAAATGTCCGCGGCGCGGTCTCAATGCGTGTTGGCGAACTTCACATGCCTTCGAAATTTTCTCAGACATGCAGGTTTCCTCACGATGTTTTCCTTCACCGCCGAGCACGTGGTAAATCAGCACTTAAAATTGCAATTAACAATTTAAGTGGTGTCGGCGGGGATCGAACCCGCGTTACGTACTGTAAAATTTACAGCTTGCGCTAACCATCTGAGCTACCACGGCTTAATCACATACACACACAATATTTAAATATAATTTGTTAACACTAAATCATACACACGTAAGAAAATAACAGAAAGAAAAGTAAGTGTGTCAATAGAATAAACACTTAAAATTGCAATTAACAATTTAATTGGTGTCGGCGGGGATCGAACCCGCGTTACGTAGTGTAAAATTTACAGCTTGCGCTAACCATCTGAGCTACCACGGCTTAATCATATACACACTCAAAATATTTAAATATAATTTGTTAACACTAAATAATAATAATAATAATAATAATAATGGATGGATAAGATTGGAAAACGTATAGGGCCGCTGCCTGGGGGTCGCCGGGGCGCGTCTGGAGCTGGCGCTGGACGCGGCAGCATGCGGGCCGCCAGCCGAGCGCGAGGAGCTGCAAGATCACCTAACAGCCCCCCGCATCCATCATCCCCACCAGACGGCTTGATGTCGGCAGGGTCCTCTCGGACTCGGCAAGCGGCATCCGCCGCTGGTGGAGTGCGCCGCATGCGTTGGACAAGGGATATGAACGCAAACGCAATGCGGGCGTACTATAGGCCGAAAGGGGAAGAAACTGCGGGGATTGCGTATCGGGCTCGGATGCATTGCTTTTTTGCTGAGCTGGAGCCGTCTATTCCCGTCACGGAACAAAACCTGGCAGACCGAGTTCGGTACATCATGCGCTCGAAAATATTCGATGATGCCGAGCTCGAACGACTACGACGTGAGGCCATTCCCTCATCGAATGAATTGGCTACGGCTGGGGATGAGGCTCCTCAGGCGACAGACCAGCTGCCACGCGTAGAAGCCGCCATGGATCTTCCAGTTGTGGGTGATTCAGACGATGATGAAATGGTCTCCCACGAACTAGAGCAAATGAGGAGTATATTGGAAGAGGCGATTTTAGAAACGCGCAGCATGCCTCTCGAAAATCGACCGCGACTTCCCCGCATACCCCTAAGCAAGCGAAATCGGGCTGTCGTGAGGGCTCTTAACCCAATGCTGGTAACCTATTTGGAAGCCAGCCGGGACCTTTGCGAGACGGACTCAGTTCTTTTTGGCGCCGCAGTGGTTGCTTGCCGTATTATTGGCGCCAAACTTCCCATGGCTGGACGCGCTACTAAACAAAGTAGCGCCATCCCAGCCTGGAGAAAAAGAATTGAGGACCGTATCGCAAAGGCAAGGGCCCTTATCGGCAGACTGATAAGCTTCAGGTCGGGTAATAATAGACCGAGGGTTGTGCGCACCGTTAGAATGGCGTTTGCTGGGACAAATATCAGTTTGTCCCAGCCGGATATCACGCAGAAACTAACGGAGCGCATAGACGACCTGAAGCAAAAGATTGCCGCTTGGGGGAAGCGGATTCGCCGATTTACCGAGAGGTCAAGGCGGTTCAACCAGAATCGTCTCTTCCAGAGTGATCAGAAGAGGTTCTACAAATCATTGGAGCGACCAGAGGTATGTGGAGCGGGCCCAGGACCGGATCAGGCTAACACTGTCGCATTTTGGCGTGGCCTGTGGTCAGAGCCCGTAAACCACAGCGAGGGCCCTTGGACGGAAGTTGTGGCGAGTCAGTGTGCGAGTATTACGCCCATGGACCCCGTCATCATAACGCCGGATGACGTAGCTGAGGCGGTCCGTAGAGCCCCGAACTGGAAAAGACCGGGACTCGACGGACTGCATCACTACTGGCTGAAGGGGTTCATGGTGTGTCACGCTGTGCTCGCCCGTCAGTTTCAAGAGGCTCTCAACCAGAAGTCGCTCCCTAGCCTCTTCACTACTGGGATCACTCATTTGGTTCCTAAAGACCAGGTTACCACAGACCCGAGCAAATACCGCCCCATTACGTGTCTACCCACCATATATAAGACACTGACATCCATTTTGAGCGCGAGAATCACTCGTCACCTGGAGCTAAATCAGGTGATGTCACGCGCTCAAAATGGATGTCGGGGCGGTGGTCGTGGAACTAAGGAACCACTCCTCATTGACGCGGTCATTGGCAAAGTGGTGAAACGCAACCGTCGGAACTTCTCCGCCGCCTGGATAGACTACAGAAAGGCATTCGACTCGGTGCCCCATACATGGCTAAAGAGAGTCCTCGAGCTGTACAAGATAGACTGTACAGTGAGAGACTTCCTCGAGCAGTGTATGGGGCAGTGGAGTACGATCCTTTGTCATCTGGGTGAGCGGATTGTAATAGTGGAGACGAACTGTCCACTATTAACAGACTCCGAGTGGTTTTCTTTAAGGTGGAGAAATGAAACTACTGTTTATGTTTATGAATGTACTGTCGAATGGGATTCGGAATGGAATATCTTTTGCATCAACCTTGCCTATATTTATATGGCTGGCTCACTATTGATTTGCCAATGGTAACAATTAATATTTTGCCTAGCCAATTATATTGCTTATTTTATGACCAATGAAAACTATTTAAAATATACAATTATCTACGTTTCGTTTCCCGGCGTGAGACTTGTTTGTTGTTCACGAAGCTACGTCGCTGGACCGGGCTATATAAGACATGCAGATCGGTGCGCACGCGTAGTCGGCGGGCGGCGGCGGTGTGGAATACAGCTCCGGAACAGCAAGAGGAAACGAACTGCGGCGTTGGAGAAACGGCTCACCATTGGTCGACGGATACGTGACGATAGCGGCGTGTGAAGTCGGTGTGGCGCTGAATGATATTTGCGGCTGCTTCTTGTTTCTTTATAAGAACGTCAAATTATCTATATACAGTCCGCAGTATCTCAGTAGCCAAGAATAATTAGGAAATAAAATGTTTTTTTATTTATTCTCGCCTTCCGCGTTATGGTAGCAGCGGAGTATATATTATTTATTCCCGTTTAGGTTTGATTAATCTGGCTGCTACATCACTCTCCCCCCAGCGAAAGCGTACCGGAGGCTTGACGACTCGCCCGTATTTCGTAGTTTTTAAAATAGGTTTCAACTGGGTTGATGTAGATGATGAAGTTTCAAGCTTCCTCGCTGGTGGTTTTGATGATGATGATGAATCCTCTGCAGTATCCTCGTTAATAATATAGGCAGGCTTTAGTCGGTCGATCGATATAATCGTAGATTTCCTTCCGGGTATTTGTAGTTTAAAAGTCTTGCTATTTCTCTCTAATACTTTATACGGTCCATCGTAGGTAGGTTGAAATTGTTTTTTCATTGCGTCGTTTCTTACAAAAACTTGTTTGCATGTTTTCAAATCTTGGTGAATGAATACTGATTTATTATTTCTGTGTGATTGCATTTCGGTGCATTTCAACGATAAGGCTTTGTTAATTGATTCTCGAAGTTTAGTTACGAAATCGTAATCCATTTCTTGTTTGTTTGACGCTGCTGAACTGAAGAAGTCACACGGCAGCCTTATGCTGCAGCCGTAGGTTAGCTGAGCGGCGCTAAGACTAGTGTCTGCACGCGGTGTTGCTCGTAGTCCGAGTAGCACTGTAGGTAGCTCATCAATCCACTTTGTATGTTGAGATAAACGAGTTTTGAGTGCAGTCTTTAATGTACGATGCCATCGTTCGATTATTCCGTTTGACTGAGGATGGTATGCTGTTGTACGCGTCTTCTGTATTCCCATAGTTTGAAGAAGTTTGAGGAATAGGTTGCTTTCGAAATTCCTTCCTTGATCCGTTGTGATGGTTTTAGGTGATCCGAAACGAGTAATCCAATTTTCATAAATTATCTTCGCGACGGATTCGGCTGAAGTATCATCGGTAGGTATTGCTTCTGGCCATCTTGTTGTTCTGTCGATCATTGTTACGAGATAACGATGTCCTTGCGGTGAAGTAGGTAATGGTCCAACGATGTCAACGTGCAAGTGTTCGAATCTCTCCGTGGGTGGAAATGTAGCTAGACTACTTGATGTATGCCTTTGTACTTTGCATTTTTGGCATTGAATGCATTGCTTCGCCCAGTTGCCAACATCCGCTTGCATTGCAGGCCAAAAGAATTTTTCAATGATGAGTTTTCTTGTTGTTCTAACACCTGGATGACTAATGTTGTGCAGTGCATTGAAGACTTCGCGACGACATTCTTCTGGTATGTATGGTCGCATGGTTGTCGTTGAGGCTTCACAGTATATAGGTAGATGCGTCATTGGCATTGTAACTTGCTTGATGGACAAGTTACCTTGCTTCGATAGATGTTTTATGTTGTCACTATCTCTGTCTTGTGCTGCGGCGATCTTATGATAGTCGATTGATGTAGGGCACGTTACACTGTCGATTGGTACGCGACTGAGTGCGTCGGCAACTATGTTGTCCTTTCCACTGATGTGACGTATGTCGGTCGTGAATTCACTTATGAAAATAAGTTGTCTTGCTCTTCGTGGTGTTTCCGATAGTGATGGTTTCTTTGGAAGTACATATGTTAATGGTTTGTGGTCGGTAAAAACGATCAGGTTTCGACCCTCGAACGTTTTTCTGAAGTGCTTGATAGCCATGTAAATAGCGAGTAGCTCTCGGTCGAATGTACTGTAGTTACGTTGAGTATCGGAGAACTTCTTCGAAAAATATCCAAGTGGTTGCCATTTCCCATTGCTGTATTGTTGGAGAACTGCTCCTGCTGAGAGATCGGATGCGTCGCTGAAGATAGCAAGGGTTGCTTCGTGTGATGGGTGAGCGAGTAAAGCTGCATTTTGGATCGCAATTTTACAAGCTTCAAATGCCTTCGTGGCTTCATCGTTCCATTCGACTGACGTTTTATCTTTTTTCTTCGTGTTGTGAAGGTAGGCGTGAAGTGGTGCTTGGATTTCAGCGGCTTTAGGTATGTGTTCTCTGTAAAAATTTATCATCCCAAGAAAACGCCTTAGCTCTTCGATAGTTTTAGGTTTTGCATAATCGATGATTGCTCTGACTTTTTCGGCAGGCGGTTTTATTCCTTCCTTGCTGACGGTGAAACCAAGAAATTGAACTTCTTGCTGTCCAAATATGCATTTCGAAGGGTTGATTGTGATTCCGTTGTCTTCTAATCGCTGTAGCACGGTGCGTAGATGGGTTTCGTGCGTTTCTTTATCAGGGCTTGCAACAAGGAGATCATCAATAAATGCGAAAACGAAATCCAGTCCATGAAGTACTTCGTGTATGAATCTTTGGAAAGTTTGACCTCCGTTCTTTAATCCTGGGATCATTCTTGGGAATTCGAATAATCCCATTGGGGTAATTATTGCTGTCTTCTCTATGTCTTCATCGCGGACTCTTATTTGTTGGTAAGCTCGGTTGAGATCGATGGTGGAGAATATAGTCTTGTCTGATAGTTGATGAGTGAAATCCCTGACTCGCGGTATTGGGTAGCGGTCAGGAGTGGTAATAGAATTCAGTCTTCTGTAATCTCCACAAACTCGTAATTCTCCGTTCTTCTTCGGTACAATGTGAAGTGGTGATGACCAAGGGCTTTTGCTTGGACGGCATATTCCTTGCTCAATCATGTTTTCGAATTCCTTTCGAACTTGCTCGTATAGGTGTGGTGCGATTGGACGTGCACGACAATGAAGTGGTGGTCCATTGGTGTCGATGAAATGCTCAACGTCGTTCTTCGGTGTTAATTTCATTGAAGTTATTCTTGTGATACCAGGGTATTCTTCGAGGATCTTGTGATACGGTTGTTGCACATCTATGCTTCTTATTGTGGGCAGATTGGTTGCTTGTACAAAAGACTGAGATGCAAGATTGGTTTTCCCGTCGATGATTCTTCTATTTTTGATGTCGACGACCAACTGGTGATGTTGAAGAAAATCAGCACCGATGATTGGTTTGCTGACTTTAGCGACGATAAATCTCCATTTGAATGGTCGGCGTAGATTAAAATCAAGTTCCATTGTTTTTTCTCCATATGTAGGAATAACCGTATTGTTTGCTGCATAGAGTTGAAAATCTAGTGGCTTCAACTTCTGTCCTTGCTTCGGCGGTAACACTGAGATATTTGCTCCGGTGTCGATAAGTAAAGTAAGCTTGCTTTTTTTATCGGTGACGAAAAGACGGTAGGACTTTGCTGTTACGCTGGATCCCGTCGCATCGAGCGTACTAGTTAGTTTTCCGTATTCGTATTTTCATTTTTGAATGTACACGGTGCTGTGCATTTTCTTGCCTCGACCCCGAAACGTCGATGATAGTAGCAGTAAGGGGATCTTGATGTTGAGCTTATTCGACTTCTACTTGCAGAGCGGTTGCGACGAAAAGGTGATCTTCGGTGTTGCTGATTGCGCTGGTTGTACTGTTGCTGGTAAAAGGTATGATGCTGGGAAGCTTTGAGCGCGGCGACTTCGAATGATAGCTTCCGAATTTCTTCGAGAAGAAACTGGGTATCATTGGCCTTTGTTGAAGTGCCTTCGATGATCGATATGTGTGAGCTACTGCTGTTTTCGATCATCTTGTCCGCCAGGAGTGCCAGTTCGTCGAGCTTCGTCTGCGTGCTGAATGTTTCGCTGACTGCTATTACCGATCGAATATGTGGTGGTAGGTGGTTTACCCACATTAGCCGTAGTGTTGAATCCGGAACTTTATCTCGCGCCAAAGTACGCATTTTGCGTAGGAGTTGTGTGGGTTTCTGGTCTCCAAGTTCTATTTCTGATAGAAGTTTTTGTAGCTGTCGACTGTCGGATTCTTCGTATGCGGAGATCAGACGATCCTTCAGTGAATTATACTGGTCGACTGCTGGTGGGTTGTACAACAGGTCCGCAATTTGTTCGATGTCTTGTTTCTCAAGTTGGGCTATCACCATCTGTGCTAATTGCGCTTGGCTCTTCTTTAAACCATTCGTTGCGGCTTCAAAACTGACGAACCAAAGTCGTGGTTTGTCTC